CCGCAAGATCATGACCTAAGCGAAAGTCGGACGCTTAACCGACTAAGCCACCCAGGCGCCCCGACAATAAACTATTTAAACAACAACAACAACAACAACAACAACAACAACAACAGCAATTTTTTCTTGGTTTAAAAATAAAGGCTTAGAGGGGCGCCTGGGTGGCTTAGTCGGTTAAACGTCCGACTTTCGCTTAGGTCATGATCTCGCGGCTCGTGGGTTCGAGCCCCGCGTTGGGCTCTGTGCTGACCGCCAGCTCAGAGCCTGGAGCCTGTTTCAGAGTCTGTGTCTCCCTCTCTCTCTGACCCTCCCCCGCTCACGCTGTCTCTCTCTCTCCTAGAAATAAATAAAAAAATATTTAAAAATAAATAAATAAATAAATAAAGGCTTAGGATTTCATATACTAAAAAAAATATTTTTTAATAAAAATAAAAATACTTTATAGCAAGGGGGCCTGCCTGGCTCAGTCAATAGAGGATGTGATTCTTAATCTCATGGTCATGAGTTGAAGCCCCACATTGGGCACAGAGCCTACTTTAAATAAATAGATAGATTAGGAGGAACTTAATGGAGGACCATGTGGGAGGAGGAGGGGAAAAATAGTTGGGGAGAGGGAGGGAGGCAAACCATGAGAGACTCTTGAATGCAGAGAACAAACTGAAGGCTCATGGGGATGGGGAAGAGGGGAAGGGGGGTGATGGGCATGGGGGAGGGCACTTGTTGGGATGAGCACTGGGTGTTATATAGAAACCAACTTGACAATTAACTATTTAAGAAAAAATAGATAGATAAGATATAGTAAAATAAGGAACTCCAAGTTGTTACCAAGAAATTCCAATCAATCAAATTAAAAAATGGGCAGAGAACCCAAATAGACATTTTTCTAAAGAAGATCTACAGATGACCAATAGAACGTGAAAAGATTCTCAACATCACTAAACAGCAGGGGGAGATACTCTGGTTTCTCTTTAGGTCAAATAAATCTTTCACTTTTTACTAATCAGCAAGGGAAAGGAAATCAAAACCACCTCGCACTGTTCAGAATGGCTAGTATCAAAAGATTAGAAATAACAAGCATTGGCGAGGATGTGCAGAAAAGGGAAACTTCATGCACAGTTCGTAGAAATGTAAACTGGTACAGCCACTTGGAAAACAGTATTGGGGTTCCTTCAAAACACTAAGAATAGAACTACCCTATAATCCAACTATTCCACTTCTGGATATTTATCCAAAGGAAGTAAAAACACTAATTTGAAAAGATATACATATTTCTATGCTTACTGCAGAATTATTTACTATAGCCAAGATATAGAACTGAATGTCCATTGATGGATGAATGGATAATGAAGATGTGGCAAATATATACAATGGAATACTACTCAGTCATAAACACGAATGAAATCTTGCCATTTGCAACAACATGGATGGACCAAGAGGATATTAGACTCAGTGAAATATGTCAGACAGAGAGGGATAAGTACCATATGATTTCACTTATATATGGAATCTAAAAAACACCATGGGGTGCCTGGGTGGCTCAGTCAGTTAAGCATCCGACTTCAGCTTAGGTCACTATCTCAAGGTTCGTGAGTTCAAGCCCTACATCGGGCTGTGCGTTGACAGCTCAGAGCCTGGAACCTGCTTCAAATTCTGTGACTCGCTCTCTCTCTCTGTCCCTCCCCTACACGCATGCTCTCACTCTCTCTCAAAATAAATGAACATTAAAAAAAATTTTTTAAAACACCACAAGCAAAAACAGACTCATAAACAGAGAGAACAAACTCGTGGTTGCCAGTTTGAGAAGGGGCTCAGGGCCTGAATGAAGTAGGTGAAGGAGATCAAGAAGCACAAACTTTCAGTTATAAAATAAATAGTCACAGGAATGAAAAATACAGCATAAGGAATATAGTCAATAAATTGTTAACCTTTTATGCTGACAGGCAAGAACTATACTTATAGTGATGAGCATTTCATAATGCCTATAAATATTGAATCACTATGCTGTACACCTGAAACTAATAATACTAGTTTTATAGTTAACTATAGTCGATATTGTCAACTATGCTTCAATTCTTTTAAAAAAGGGGGAAAAAAAGAAAGAAAAGAACATCTTGTAATCCTTACATTGGATTACATTGCATTGCATTTATTCATTAACTTAATAAATATTTACTAAGTGCCTGTTGTGTTCTTAGATACTGTGTTAGGCTGTGGGTAAGAATGGTTATCAACATATTTCATGTCCTGAATTAAATTATAAACCAACTTGACAATAAACTATTTAAAAAAACAGAACCCATGAAATACTATGGATATTCGGAAGAGCACTGAATCATGATTCCATAAATTTGTAACAAAAGAAAAAAAATAAATTATAAAGAAATAAAGGATACTAGCCAATGGAAACATTCTGAACTATGTGAGAAATGCTAGGATTTGAGTAATTAGAACAAGTCACTTCACCTGGTTTTCAGGATGCTTGGGGAAGCTTTTCAAGGCAGATGAAATCTTCTATATGAAATTGGGCTCCATATACTGTGGTAAGACTGTAAGACACAACCAAACATACTTTAGTTTCAAGGTGATCATGGTTGGGGCGCCTGGGTGGCTTAGTTGGATAAGCATCTGACTTCAGCTCAAGTCATGATCTCACAGTGCATGAGTTCGAGCCCCACATCGGGCTCTGTGCCCCACATCGGGCTCTGTGCTCTCCAGCTCAGAGCCTGGAGCCTGCTTTGGATTCTGTGTCTTCCTCTCTCTCTGCCCCTTCCCTACTTACATTCTGTCTCTCTCTCAAAAATAAATAAACATTAAAAATTGTTTTTAAAAAGGTGATCTGGTTTTGAACAGAAAATAAAAGGTAGGTAAATGAGGTGTTGGATAAAAAGTAAAAATATCAGCTCGTACTCACTGAGGAACAGGGCTACCATGGCTTACATATATGGGGAGTTCAAGAGTGTCTTTCGAGGATCAGGTACATGCAAACCCAGAGACAAATGACATCGTTCAAAGTGCTCTCTCTCTATTCCTTGACTCTCGTTATCTCTTTTCGTCTGGTGACCTAATTTTCTTCTCCTGCAGCACCCCTAAGTCAGCATCTGTAAACCTTAGCCAGCAGATGCAAAAATCATATGTCTCTCTCTTAACACGCATATATCAGATATAATAAAAGACTCTAAAAATGTTTTACTGCTAAAAAATGCTAACCCTTGTCTGAGCTTTCAGCGAATAGTAATCTTTTTGCTGGAGGAGGGTGTTGCCTCCATGTTGGTGGCTGCTGGCTGGTGAGGGTGGCAGTAACAGAAGGCTGGGTTGGCTGCTGCAATTTCTTAAAATAACACAACAATGAAGTTTGCCACATGAAATGACACTTCCTTTCAGGAGTGATTTCTCTGCAGCATGCCATGCTGTTTGATAGCATGTTACCCACAGTAGAACTTGTTTCAAAATTGGAGTCAATTGTCTTCATCCCTGCCAGTGTTTTTTCAACTATGTTAATGAAATAGTCTCAATCCTTTGTTGTCATCTCAACAATCTTCACGGCATCCTCACCAGGAGTAGATTCCATCTCAGAAAAAATTTCTTTTTCTCTGTTCCTCCATGAGAAACAAAGCTTCATCCATTAAAGTTCTAGCCTGAGATTGAAGCAATCCATCCCATCTTCAGGCTCCACTTCTGATTCTAGTTCTCTTGCTGTTTCCACCCCACCCGCAGTTACTGCCTCCACGGAAGTCTTGAACCCTCGGAGTCATCCCTGAAGGCTGAGATCTGCTTCTTCCAGTTCCTATGATTGTTATTGTTTTGACTCTTCTCATGACCCATGAATATTCCGAGTGGCATCTGGAATGATGAATTCTTTCCAGAAGGCTTTCAATTTGCTTTTCCAGATCCATCAGCAGAATCATTATCTATGGCAGCCACAGCCTTACAAAATGCATTTGTCAAATTGTAAGACTCAAAAGTCCAAATGATTCCTGGATGCATGAGCTGCAGAATGGGTGCCGTGTCAACACGCATGACAACAACACTAATCTCGCTGTCCATCTCCATTAAAGTGTTTGGGTAACCAGGTCATGGTCAAGGAGCAGTAATATTTTGAAAGAAATTTTTTTTTTCTGCACAGCAGAGCTTAACAGTAGACTTAAGATATTTGGTAACCAATGTTATAAACAGATGTGCTGTCATCCAGTCTTTGTTGTTCCATTTCTAGAGCACAGGTAGATTTAGCATAATTCTTAAGGGTCCCAGCATTTTTGGAATGGTCAATGAGTATCAGCTTCAGCTTACAGTCACCAGCTGTAACAGAGTACAGCATTCTCTGTGTCACAGAGTAAGGAAAATGTCCTTGGACATTGGAAAAATGTCACCAATAGTCTTGCTCAACCCAGGGTTGCCACAAAATTTCAGTTTGTAAAAAATACAATGTCCATGATGCTCAATAAAGTGAAGAAACCTGTAATGTTGGTGGCTCCACAATCCCATGAACACAGTTGATGCCCCTGACTCGAACAGTTAAAACCGTGACTCTTAGCTTACAACACCACAACATGTCACTTGGGCCATTCTGCCACAAAAAAAAAAAAAAGGCAAAAAATGAAAAAAGGAACTAGATAGAAAATGAAAATTATGCTTCACATTGCACACTTAAGATCTTTGTGCTTCACTCAGAAAAGAGTAAACAGAATCGTAGTCAAATGAGGACCGTCAGTGTGCAGGAAGGCTTGCCACTCTGCTGAGAGGAAGGAGTAGTCCAGATGAGAACCACACTCAGTTGATGACAGAACCGCGAAGGGTGGGCACCGGCCGCAGGAAGCCACAGGCACCCATCTGCCCCACAGACAGCATGCTCCGCCTGCTCCTGCCTCTCGCGCTGGTCTTCGGCCTCGGTCCAGGTAACAAATGCAGGGGGTACTCGCGCAGTCCCTGAGTAACTCTATGGCTTAGTGCAGCTTGCTCAGTCTAAATCACTTGTGCATGGGTGTCTGTCTGTCTCTCCCCTGAGGGACTGGGTGCGTGCCACACTAAGTGCCTGAGCTCCTTCGGAGTCAACAGCTTCACCAGCTTCACCTGTGTCTGCATTTATGGGCAGCATCTGCGGCGCATGGGAGGTGAGCTTTTTCTAAGACCAGACAGTCTGAAGTTTACAACCAGCATGTTTTGATCTACAGAGCTCTGTCATTAGGAAAGTGAGTTCTCTTACCAAAAGAGCTATTATCTTGCTGTGTGACCTCAGGTAGGCTCCTTATTCTTCTGGAGCTTTAGTATTCACATCGAAATTATTGAAAAATCTATGGTTCAGTTGAGCCAAAATTTCTAGGCACGGGGGAAACATCGGAAACAGTCCTATTCATTTGTGCTTACTGTGATCTCCGGCTCTCCCTTCCTGTGATTCAAATCAGGGGCTGGCTAGTCCAGTAGAACTTTATATGACACACAGAAAGGCCCCACGGGTCCTGCCTACCTATTCCCCACTATCCATCACATGGAAAGTGTGAAGGTCATGTCATGTTTGGGGAACCACAGGTGATTATTGGAGTCAAAGAATAGACTTCAGAGACAGATGGGGCAGGAGACGGGATAGAAAAGCTAGGCCAGAGTTAGCCCAGGGTAGCGGATGAAAAAAGCGAATGCTCCTTGACGGCTTCTGTTCCGGGCCCTGGGCCAAGTACTGTGCACGCATTATATCCATGAGCCTCAGGACAGGTCTAGGGAGCCTGTGCTATATTGACCCCATTTTACAATGTGAATTTAAATAACTGGCCCACATTTGGTTAGCCAGCAGGTGGCAAGCTCTTGCAACAGTTCTGAGCAACAGTGATGTGTGCCCAGACACAGCTGCGGCACAAGAGAAAGGGCCGAGGTGACAGTCACCGTGGATGCAGAATTAACTAGATGGACACCAGGAGGGAAGGGAAAACCCTGCTTTTCTAGCTTCTGGGGACACATCGTGGATTCCTGTTCCCTGTGGAGCTCACATCTGAGCAGGGAAACCAGATGCATAAGTGAAATGGCATAGTGGACAGTGACAAATGACAAGGAGAAAAATAAAATAAATCAAACGGGGAAAGGGGATATGAAGTACCGTGGAAGGAAGGGGCAGGGAGATTTCAGACGGAGTCTCCAGAGGTGATAAGTTGCGTGACAAAGAGGAGGGGAGGCAGGGAGTTCAATGTCAGACCTACTAATTTTAAGACATCAATGTGATATCCATGAGAAGATTTCTGGGGAGCAGCTGGAAATAGAGGACTAGAGGCTGGAGGCGTGAACATAATGGCAGGGAAATAATCAATGAAGCTAAGAAAAAGTGCAAGGAAGGCAGAGCCATGGGAGATATCATGTCCATCCCGACCTGTCTTTCTAGAAGTCTCCAGGTGCTAGAAGTCTCCAGGTGCAGAGTGTGGCCTCTATTTGATGTCCAAAGCTCTGTCTTCCCCAGACATGACCTTTGATATGAAAGTCAATCCATTATCACTTTGTTGACCTCAGTAATTGAAATCAGAGAAATATCTTTTGATAAGGCCTTTGTTACCTCATTCCTACCCCACAGGGAGAGGCCTCAACCCATCCAGCAAATGTACCTACAAATATCCAAAAGTATTTGAAACCCCAGATGCCACTGGCCTGACAGTAGAATCCATTTGCCAGTCTTCCCCAGGCAGTGTCCCCCCAGCCTGACTTGCCTCAGCTAAACGGAATGCCAGAGGCCTGCTCTGTACGTTATGTATCTGACAGTGGACATACCGGTTTGCCATTCTTTTAATAATCTCTTTCATCCCTGGACCATTTATCGTCTTTGTGAACCACGGCCGTAAAGCTTCTCTGCCACAATCATTTGGATCTTGTGCACTCTTTCAATATTTTTTCAATGTTTATTTTTGAAGGAGAGAGAGAGAGAGAGACAGAGAGAGAAGGGGAGGGGCAGAGAGAGAAGGAGACACAGAATCCGAAGCAGGCTCCAGGCTCTGAGCTGTCTGCACAGAGCCCAGTGCGGGGCTTGAACCCATGAACTGTAGGTCAGACACTTAACCAACTGAGCCCCCCAGGTGTTCTTGGATCATGTGCACTCTTAACAAGCTCCCAAGCAGTCTTCCCAGGCGCCTGGACTTTCCCACTGCTCTTTGACATCCGCCCTCTGATTATCAGGGCCCATCTGCAGCCTGTTTTGCTGCCTCCTCTGTCTCATCATGGGGATAGATTGGGACAGATTAATAATGAGGCAAGGAGGGTGTCACTCTGCTGCAAAAATCTCCTGTGACCCAGCAGCCCTTCCTGTGGCAGCAGCCACCAAGCCACTTCCCCATGTGACTTCTGAATTTCCTTTCTGGTGACATTTGCAATGCACCACGGGAAACTTGTTTGGCTTGCACACTATTTCCAACAATCTGAAGATTTCTTTGCCATAGCTGATTTCTTTATATCCAAGATTTGATAACCCTCTTTCTTTCCATATGGTTCCATGGGCATGGAAGACAGAGAAGGTGTATTTGGAATCAGTGAAAATGGAAAGCACATTATCTTGACAGGGTTCTTTAAAAAATTTTTTTTAATGGTTTTTGGGTGTGTTTTTTTTTTTTTTTTTGAGAGAGAGAAAGAGTGTAAGTGGGGGAGGGCAGAGAGAAGGAAGCACAGAATCTGAAGCAGACTCTAGGCTCTGAGCTGTCAGCACAGAGCCCAATGCGGGGCCCGAACTCGTGAACCACAAGATCATGACCTGAGCTGAAGTCGGCCGCTTAACTGACTGAGCACCAGGGAGCCCATATCTTGGCAGGGTTCTAAAGCTCTGGTTAGCACATGTATGTCTGCCTTTTGGGCTGAGGGGTCTGAGGTCAGCCTTTCAGCCTCTACAAGAGCGTCTAAGGACATTGCATACCTGCCTCTTTTACCCATTTGAAACTGCTGCCATCTACAAATCAGCCTTCCTCTGTCCTGGCCAGGTGTCCACCTGGGAGATCTCTGTGACTTGAGATTTGATCAGTTACTTCTGGGCAACTGTGGGTGGTGGAGGATCAAGGTTAGGAAGTAGGGGAGCTGGGTTTAAAGTGTGATGTGGCTTCAGCTGGAACTGAGGGGGATCTAGCAGCGTGGCTTGATGTTGTAGTATTCTGTTGGGACAGCCACAGATGTCCTTTGGTTTCTGATAAACCAGAGACCAGGTGTGGGGTCCAGTCTGTCACAGGATGACCCATAGTTTTTCATTACTTAAGGCATGTGGCTGCCACAGCTTTCAGGCACGGACACCAACCTCTGGCCACCATGTCCAAGCTTTTAGAGAAATAAGCTACCATGCTCTTAGTTAATGGTCCCAGTATTTGGGTTAACATCCCTACAGCCATGCCTTGTCTTTCAAATGCTTTTCAAGGTCTGGTAATACTAAGACTGGGGCTTCTGTAAGTAAAGCTGTAAGCCTACTGCAACCTTGATCGCATGCTTTATCATGTATGATGCAAACGGGTCAGTCTCAGGTCCCTGAAGCTTATCATAAAGGGGGCTTCATAATTAGCCCAAAGTTAGGAATACAGATATGTCCAAACCAGCCATTCCCCAAGACCCACATGGGATCTTGTGGGTCCTTGGTGGGACTGGCTGACATATTTCTTTTTCTTTCTTGAGGAAGACCTTGGTGCCCCCTTGGAAATAATGAGCCCCAAGTATTTTACAGTTTCCTTAGAAATTTGAACCTTTTCATTTGATACCTTATATCCCTTGCTGGCTAAGAAATTTAACATGAATATAATATTTTTGTCACAAATATACTATGGGAGGCTTGCAATTGGAACACCATCAACATTTTTCAGGACAATACTCTTTTCCAGAATTAACTCTTTTAAACCTTGTTCGAGGATTTCTCCAAAGAGAGTGGGAAATCCCTGAGGTAAAACAGTCCAACAGTATTGTTGCTTTGGTGGAGGCCAAGGTCTCAAAGGCAAATAATTTTGGGGATTCAGAATCTAGTGGGGAGCAGAAAAGGGCCTTCTTTAAATCTAACACAGCATAATAATTACTATTACTTAGCAAATTGACTAAAAGGGTATATGGATTGGGTACTACAGGATATATATCTCAAGTAGGCTCATTAACAGCTTGGGGGTCTAGGGACGCCTGGATGGCTCAGTTGGTTAAGCCTCTGACTTTGGCTCAGATCATGATCTTGTGGTTCGTGAATCGGAGCTGTGCTGACAGCTCAGATCCTGGAGCCTGCTTCGGATTCTATGTGTGTGTCTCTCTCTCTGCCCTTCCTCTACTCACATTCTGTTTCTCTCTCTCAAAAATAAACATTAAAAAGTAAATAAACAGATTAGGGGCCTTGAACAGATCAGATCTGTTCCATATTCTCTGGCTTTTTAATGGGAACAACTCGGGTATTGCACAGGGACCTGCATGACCTGATCAAGCCTTGCTCTAAGAGTCTATTTATTACCCAGAAGATCCCTCTTATAGCTTCTGGTTTTAAGGGGTGTTCCTTGACCCCGGGCCATCTATCTGCTCATGAGTGTCGCACTATGGGCACATCCCACTTATCCTTCTGCCCAGACCTCTGGGTTAACCTGGCTTAAAATACTCTGTGGACTCTCTTCTCTTTCAGGTATTGGCACATTGTATAGTAGAGCCATGAGTTTACTTCCCCAGTACCTGGACCCTTGGGTCTCTGCCCTGTCTTGCTCCCAACTGATTGAGGCCCTCTGTGTGAAGCAAATGGCTCATCCTAAGAGAGGAATGGTGCACTCTGGTACATAAAGAGTGCTTCAGTCATTTTGACCCTGTTTCACAGGTCAGAGTTTCCAGATAATCTTACTTTTTGTGTTAGAAAGGCAACCCTTGCAGTGCTTAGGTGGCTCAGTCGGTTGGGTATCTGAATTCAGCTCAGGTCATGATTTCATGGTTCGTGAGTTCA